AGCCGACTGCATGGATTTACAGCTAGGACCTAGAAATACAAACCGCTAGAGGACAGAGAGGTGAAAGGGCTGCTCCAGTCTCCGCGGGGTTCCCAGATCCCACTTTCCATTTCCCTCCTCCCATTTCCCTCCCACAGGGCTGTCACCAACATTAGCCACTCCTGGTCACTGTAGCAATGCAGAGTAGAGTCAGCGTTTGCTGTCCCGTGCCAGGCCACTGAGTCAGCGAGGACTGCAGATGGGGGCCACACTGATCCCCTGTGCAGAGGCACACTGTGAGCAGACGGGTGAGAGAGAGGAGTCTTGGCATTCTCCCCTTAGGAGGGGAAGGGGAATGGTCTTGAGATCTGCTGGAAGAGATCACAGCTGCAGGCCCCAGTCAGTTCCCTTACTCAAGCTAAGTCGGTGGTGTTCAGGTGCTGGTTGGGTCTTACCCAGACCTGGGGCCTAGCTTTTTCTGATATTGCATTTCAGAAACAGTAAGCGTCATTCTTCCAGCCCATGTGGGGTCCAGATGTATATGCCTGAAGGGGAATTTTTTTTTATTGCTTCTAGAGGCTCTGGGCGAATAGAAAAATTACTTCAGATTTCAGTGTGTTATTTATATGCATTCTTCAGCACTCCGTAGTAACGTCATGAGTGCCCTGAGAATTGGGAATAGAGTGTGGAAAGGAGTTGAGCTGACTCAAGTAAAACTCTGAAGAAGAGAAAAGACATACTGGAAACAAATTTGGAGGACTCGAGAGAAAGCAGACAAAGAGAAGTAGAAAAAAAGCAAGGGCTGGATTTGGGAAGACCCTCGCTTTAGTCAGCTGTTTGTATGATCATCATTCACGGGCAGCATTCGTTCAACGGGAAGATGGGAAGAAAAATATTTTGATTGATTGGAGAGAACTCAGGTAGCCCGTAACCGTGACCATCAGCCATCTTTCCCTGGTGTTGACAACGGTAACAACAGTAACAGCATTAGAGGAATAACATTTCCTAGAACTCCCACTTTCAAATAGTCTTTTCTCACTGGTTCCTGTAGACTTTCATGGGCACTATCTCACTCACCATCTTCAGTTCTCATCCCCACCCCAGGGCTCAGAAAGAAGCCTGGGCTTGTGGAAAAGGCCAGGGCTGAGACACTGACAGGTCTTGGTCCAGATCTCCACGGTGTGACCTTAGACAAATTACTAAATCCTGACTATCTTCAGATTTCTCATCTGTGAAATGGAAGAAAACAATGTACACCTCACACGGTGTTGGATGGCTTAAAAGAAGCATGCGTTAGCATTCAACACATGGTAGCTATTGGCTTCAAACCCATTTACACACAGGGAAGTTTATCTAACATCACACACTACTCTGCACGCCAAGTCAAAATGGCTTACTGAAGTCTGTTGTCTCCCAGCCTGCAAATTAAAATAAAATGGGATCCAAAGAACCTTGCAGTGTAATAGAATGCATGATGGCATGGAGTGAAGAGACCTGATTCATCCTAGCCCCTCAAGTGCTTAGAGAATTGGGATAATTTCTATGAAACACTAAACATGGTGTCTGGTACCTCGAACACACAATGTCTAAGTGTTCTTTCGCTCTTGCTCCACATTCAGTTGGATAGGAAATCTCATTGGCTCTACCATCTAGATATATTCTCATATATGTGTGCACATGCCTGTATGTGTGTGTGTGGCATGGGAATGAGTTATGCCAATATGGGTGAGAGGAGACGACTTATGTATACTTACATTCTACTGCTTCCCCCAACCCCCACTGCTACTGTCTGATCTAAGACACACCATTTCTTACATGAATGATTGACCACAGTATCTTAACCGGGCTCTCTGCTCGTTCTCTATTTTCTGCTGTCTGTACTTAGCAGCCAGGGTAATATTTTAAAACATAATTCAAACCATGCCATGCCTCTGCTTGAGCATTCCAAGACTCCTGACTTCATTCGGAGCAAAAGCAAAAATCCTTAAAATGGCCTACAAAGTCCAGCCTCTCTCCCTTACTCCCCGCCTCCATTCTCTGCCTTCCAACTCTCACTCCTCACTCCTGAAAAGTTAGAGACTTTTCTTGGAATCTACACTTATTTCACTCTGTAACACCTGCCTAAGTATCCTTTACTTCTTGGTTTACAAGTCTGCTTCTTACTTCTCTGAGCTCTGACACACCTCTCATTACCCTCCCCCAACTCACTCTACTGTCCCCAACCCCCAGGCCTCCACAGCCAAACATGGTGTGGTCTGGCTTCTCTCCCTGTTGTCCCTTCCTACCCATATTTTCATGACTCATTCCCATACTTCCTTCACATCTTTGTTCAAATGTCACTGTATTTAAAATGGTATCTCTCTGGCTCCCCTTAGCCTGCTCTCTATTTCCTACTGGATCACGACTAACCTACCAGGTAAGTGACTTATTAAGGGTGTACATTGTCCATCTTCCTGCTGAGGTGCACGGTCCATGATGGCAGAGACTATTGTTGTCTGCATGTTCATAGCCAGAGCCTAAGTAAACCAACCAGTATCCGCTCAAGTAGGGACTCAATCGATATTTGCTGAATAAATTAATAACTAGTCATCATGGTTTGAGAGAAAGTCTCAACCTCTAAGAACCTGCAACTCTGTTTTTTCTTTGTTTTACAAATGTGGTGGGGAGGAAAAGAAAATGTATGACCTGAAAATTTCTTTCAGCTCTGGAAGTCAATTTAAATTTACTCACGCGTCAATTTATTCACTCGTGAAAAGAACATTTATTGAACATTTACTAAATGCTGAGAATACCAAAAAATGAATGCAATAGATTCCCTAATATTTCTAGTTTTGTGAGAGAAGCAGACTCGTAAACCAATAAGTGAAGGATACTTAGGCAGGTGTTACAGAGCGAAATGAGTGTAGATTCAAAGCAAAGTCTCTAACTTTTCAGGCGTGAGGAGTGAGAGTTGGAAGGCAGAGGACGGAGGTGGAGGGAAAATGCACTTGAGGAGACTTCATGGAGATTTATCAGTCGAGGCTGGAAAGATGGATAAGAATCCGTAGGTTGACAAAGAGGGATGATATTCCAGGCAAAGGCATGAGGCTCCGGAAGGAGTGGGGCGGGGTGGGGTAAGAATGGCAGGCTTGGGTACAGAGGGAACTAAGGCTTACTCTGCCACTCATGGGAAGCTCTGGTTTGATATTAAGTAGGGAAATTATATGATCATACATAAATTTCTAATACATCAGTACCATGTGAGAAATTGGAGGTGACGGTAATCAAATGGAAGGCTACTGCAATGTTAGGATCATCACAAGTCAGGGTCTTGAGCCTAGGGCTTAAGAGTCAAATACTTCATAGAGGTCACATACTATTATTGTTTTGTAACCTGCTTTTCTTTCAGTTAGTATAAACATTTTCTCATGTTCTTCTATATACAGATATGTAGTCTATTCCCAGTTCTCTATATACAGATATAGATGGACATGAAAAGATGTTTATTCCAACAGAAAGAAAATCAGTTACCCTTAATGACAGCACCGTATTCCACTCTCCAGCATATCATATATTTAACAGGACCCTTATTGCATACGAAGGTGTCTCATGAGTTTTTAGCATCTATGTCTCTATTCGTTGTTTTGACTCTATGTGTGTCAGAGTGCAGTCTAAAATAGTCTTAAATAACTTTGCCAGATAGTAACTTAGAAATCACTTTTTATGGTAGACACCATCTCCATTTGGTGGATGTGAAACTAAGCTTTAATGGAATAATTCCCTTGCCTAAAGTCACAGACCTACAAGTGACCCACTGTGATTTCAACACAATATATGTGTGCCCTTGAAACTCAGCTTGTTGGGTTAACATTTTGCATAAATACTCATGGAATCCTGTGGCTGGAAAATACTTTATAGTTGCAAAATCCATTCTCACCCTAAGGTTTTATAAGGTGGGCAAGGCTCTATCTAACTCAGGATTTAGACCTTTTGAATTTTGACCTCCTTGGTAGACCAATTTCACCCTAAATTAGGCAGCCAGTGAGCAGCCCAGTGCCCAGTCACTCCTCTCCCTCAGGCAGATGGATGCCTTCACAAGGAAATACACTTTATCTGCACCCTGACCCCAGAGGCCCCGATCCTCTGGCCCAGGAATACGTGTGCAGGTGTGCCTTTAGCAAGCACATGCTTTCAGCTGAATCAGTGCTTGCAAGTGTTTTCATCAGGCACTGTGCCTGGTACACACAATTACACACAGCACTTGTCCACCCCTCTTATCACCCACAGAGTGCTTCAGATGAATATTCCATCTGATCGCAGCAGAAATCATGAATTTGAAAACTGTAGCTAGATGACATCATATCCTGACATGGGAGGAGGAAAAGGTCAATTTTCATCTAGTAAATGTCAAGCAGCCAGCTTGACTGATTGTTTTTACTGACTTGACCAGATCAATAGGTTGTTAAGTCATCGTGTCGACACTGATTAAATCGATACAGTTTGATTTGTAGGGAAGAAGCAAATAACAACCACAAACATTTAAGCAGTGAGCACTCAAAGGCTTACTGTGGTGCACGCTGTAGTCTCTGTGCACCGCCAGATTCCTGCCTATTCCCACGTTAACCCTGTAAGGTGGACCTCTTACTATGCCTGTCTCCATCTCACACATGAGGAAACTGAGTTTGAGAAAAGTTACATGTCTTGCCCAACCAAGATCATCCAGGCAGTGACCAGGCCAGAATTTGAGCCAAGGACTTAGCTACTGTGCTCTACTGCTATGGCTAATCGCTTGAAAAATGCTGCAGGACCCAGCTCTTGGCGGAGGCAGGTAGCTCCACTGCAACCTCGTGCTCTGCAGGTGAAGGGCAGCAATGGGGCCAAAGCCTTCCCTGGGCCCCCATCAATAGTGAGCAAATAATTAGCTAGACTGCTCTTGCTGTGCTGTCTCAGGGTTTTCTTTTGTTACCTAGTGACAAAAGAGTGTCCTGGAAGTTGCACACAAAGGCAGAGTGAGTTTCTTCATTTGGATTTTTATGCTTCAATGCTTTGAGGTTGGGGGTGGGGAACAGAAGAGCTTAAGCCTGGAAAAACTCACTCTGTTGGGCGCCTCACATGCACAGCTCTGGCCGATGTGTGTGTTTGTAGATATTTATTTCCTTGCCTGTGTTGGATCATTTGAGCCCCCTGTGCTTTGAACTTGAAACGATCTTCAAAGGGTGACATCCTCTCAGAAGTCTGAACACAAAGCTTCTTTCTGCCCGCTCTTCCTCGGGTTGCTGAGCATCACGGTGGGTTTAGGTGGATTATCTTTTCTCTCTTCGACTGTGGCCTAACTGTTCTTACAGCTCCGGAATGTCTTAGAGTTCAGTACCCGTCATGGATCAAACTGTCCTGATGTCTGGTACGTTTCAAGCAGAAGGAAAGAAAAATGTTGAGTGCTTGAAAAACTTTTATTTACCTCTTTCTTGCTCATGATTTTTATTTCAACAAGCAAATATACAGTACTTCTGAAAAGCCAGTTCCTGCTTTGCATCTGGGATGGCCCTTTTGATACTTGTCTGTCTTTCATCTCCCACGAAGATACATTGGCGGAAGAGGAGACACAGCCTGGCAAATTGGATAAAAAACCAAAACCCATCGGTGTGCTGTATCCAGGAAACCCATCTCACACGCAAGGATACACAAAGGCTCAACATAAAGGGATGGAGGAAGATTTAACAAGCAAATGGAGAGCAAAAAAAAAAAAGCAGGAGTGGCAGAAGAGGAGAGAGGGGAACCACTAGAAGGAAACTTAGGGGAACAAACAATTTGTCACACAGAAAAAGGAGCTCTAATCCTATTACTACTCAGTAGGGAGTCCAGTGGCGGGTAGAGGGCCACAACATGTGAAGATAAGGTGGGGAGTCCAGTGGTGGCGGGTAGAGGGTCACAACATGTGAAGATAAGGTGGGGAGTCCAGTGGCGGGTAGAGGGTCACAACATGTGAAGATAAGGTGGGGAGTCCAGTGGCGGGTAGAGGGCCACAACATGTGAAGATAAGGTGGGGAGTCCAGTGGCGGGTAGAGGGCCACAACATGTGAAGATAAGGACAATCAACTGAAGCCTTCGATGACTGCCCCCAAGAAAGTCTACTTTTGGAGTATTGCAATGAAAGAATGAAAGAGCAATACAGCCCCCCTTTGCAGGAAACATCGCAGTGGGACATGCTGCAGCCACACCTCATACCCTTCTACCCTTCTACCCAATTCAAAAACTCCCTCACAACCCCCCGCACCAAATCTCTTTACCTCCACCCAAAGGTATGAGACACATCCGTCCCATCCCTCACAACCAACCCTGTACCTCTTATCATCCCCAAATAAGAAAAATTTAATACGAGGATTGGAAGATAAAGTCAGAGTCATCTCCCAGAATGTACACCCAAATTACCAAGTGGTGGGACAAATCAAAGAAGAGACTAAGAGATGTGGGCGGGGCACAGTGGCTCGTGCCTGTAATCCCAGCACTTTGGGAGACCAAGGTGGGCAGAGTTTGAGACCAGCCTGGCCAACATAATGAAACCCTGTCTGTACTAAAAATACAAAAAATTGCTGGGCATGGTGGCAGGTACTTGTAATTCCAGCTACTTGAAAGGCTGAGGTGGGAGAATTGCTTGAATCCAGGCAGTGAGCCCAGATCACCCCACTGTACTCCAGCGCAGGCAACAGTGTGAGACTCTGTCTTTAAAAAAATGGAAAGAAAATATGTGAAGATGGCCCAAGATCCCACTATTAAAAGCCAAAGTTGATGAGTGGACACAAAAGTGCACCTAGATAAGAGAAATAAGTCCTACTGCCCCATTGCACTATAGGGTGGCTCTCACAAACAACATCTATTATATATTTTCAAATAGCTAGAAGAGCAGATTTTGAATGTTCCCAACATGTTTGAGGTGATGGATATGCTAATTACTCTGATTGGTTCATTATGCATTGTATACATGTATTGAAATATCAGCTTAGATGGACAATTAATCCCAGCATTTTTGGGAGGCCAAGGCGGGCAGATCACAAGTTCAGGAGTTTGAGACCAGCCTCGCCAACACAGTGAAATCCCATCTCTACTAAAAATACAAAAATTAGCTGGGCGTGGTGGTGCACATCTGTCATCCCATCTACTTGGGAGGCTAAGGCAGAATCACTTGAAGCTAGGAGGCAGATGTTGCAGTGATCCAAGATTGCACCACTGCACTCCAGCCTGGGGAACACAGCCAGACTCCATCTCAAAAAAGAAAGGAAGGAAGGAAGGAAGGAAGGAAGGAAGGAAGGAAGGAAGGAAGGAAGGAAGGAAGGAAGGAAGGGAAGGAAATGATGGAAAGAAAGAAAAGAAATATCACATGTGCCCTGTAAATATGTACAATTATTGTGTGTCAGTTTGAAATAATGAAATAAAAGAAATAAAAGTTCTGGGAAGAGATTGCCAAGAAAACAAATACTTTATCAAGAAAATGACACAAGAAAAAACCCCAAGCACATAAAAGACACAAATCTCTTGATGGAAAACCATATAAATGAAAAAGACCCACATCTAGAAACATCATATGAATTCCCACGACAAAAAGGATAAAGATATGATAACAAAAGCCCCGAGAAAGAGAAAGAGGGAGGAAAAAACAGATCAGTACTTATAGAGAACTGAGGATCCAACTGACGTTTGTTAAAAGATGCTGGACAGGTTCAGAATGGCATCAAAACCTGAGGAAAACAATGACGACAAACTGTCTAAGAAAGATAAGGCCTAAATACCACATTATTTATGGTAAATCATGAAGAGTAGGAAAAGCTCCTTTTTAGCACCCTGTGGCATAGAATGTTGACAGTGGAAATGGCAAGATGTGCACGTAAAATTGTGCAAACAATTTCAGAAAGCAACTGCCGTACAGAAAGCCAGACCAAGGTTCCAGGATAAAGTCTCTGTCACTAAAAGACTCCAGGAGGATGGAGTGAAGGGGCTGTGATTGCAAATCACTTATTGTACTGCAATTTCCTTACACAGGCACATGGTCAAGTTTTAAAAGTCGTTTTGTAACTATACTGCAGGGAATTAAGAGCACTATGTTTTTCATGCCTGACACTAAGTGCTAGAGTGAAAGGCAGCTTTCTCTCTCTCCTCTAGGTTCAACTATTTGGGACCAATGTTAGAGAAGGTCCACTGTCCTCCCTGAGGCCTCCGTGATGCTGAAAGAGTCAGAGGTCAGAAGAGAAGAGAGGTCAAAGAGAACCCTAGCCAGAGGGTTCACAGCAGCCCCCACTCTAAGCTAAAAATTAGCAGCATAGTTCACCTTCATATCCCTGTAAGGACATCTTTTTCCCCATTGCCAGCCGTGAAAGTACAGGTTTTCATGTTTTTCAAAGAATTATTTATACAAGCAGACCTTGTTGAGTAGCTACTATGCACCAGTAGTGTTAGTAGGCACGAGAGATTAAATACTGAACAAGACAAAATCCCTGCCCTTTGTAGATTAAAGAAGAAAAATACTATAATTATCCCAAGGATATGGACAAAGCGTTAAATAAAATTCAAAACTCATTCATTCACTGTAAAAATTCCTTGCAAACTAAAAGTGGAAGAGTCATCTTACCGTGATAGATTATATCCATCAAAACCCTATGAAAACATCATGCATAAGAGACTTAGCGGTCAGGAAGACCGAGCCCACACACCGCATCGCCACTTACTCAGCACTGTCCTTGGCGGTCCCAGCTGTACAGTTAGGAAAAATAGGGGTAAAAGAAAAAGAAAAATGTTGTCTTTATTTTCAGTTAAAAATGTTGTCATAGATAATAAGAGAAACATTAGGCAATTTATCCAGATTAATACGAGAGTTTAGTATTATGGTTAAATGCAAAGGTTGATGTCATACAACAGGAAACCCAGGAACTGACCTAAACAAACACTGAAATACGATACAGGAGAAAGGTAGCATTGTAACTTATCGACAAAGAGTAAATTTTATAATAAAGGTGCTGTGATAACTGATTATCCACGTGGACTAAAATAAATTTGGATTTCCTGTCTCACACCATAAAATTCTAAATATATTAAAGAACCAAATATAAAATGTATAACTTTAAGCTTTTGAAGAAAATATAGGGGTATAAGTCTGTCACTTCTAAGTAAAAAAGTGTTTCTTAAACAAAATGGAAAAGATGGACATATTTGATTGCTTTAAAATTTTAAATGTGCTTATATTAAAAATCATCATAAAGCAAAAAGATAAGCCAAACCTTGTAATATTCTCATACAACTGGTAAAATATTATACTTAAGATATATAAATACAGATATAAATACACTCAGATATAAGATATACACATACAAATTTAAATACATAAAGTATGTAAGTACACATTTAAGAAATATATACAATTCATTTAAGATATGTATGTATGTATATGTACATGTAATGGAAAATGAACAATCCTGATAGAGAAAAAGGGCAGAACAAATATTTCACAAATGAGAAAGCCCAAATGCCAGTGAGGATGTGGAAAATGAAAATTCTCATATAGGTAGACCTGTAAATTTGCTCAAATCCACGTTGGAGAGTAATTTGGCAAAATCTAGTAAAGTTGAAATATGAATATACTTCAACCCAGCAGTTCCACTTCTATGTAAAAGACCTAGATAAATATTTGCACATATATACAGGGATCGCCACAAAACTGTTTATAGCAAAGCATTGGGAACAATCTGGCCATTCCCTCTTCATAGATTGCATAACTGAATTATCAGATGTGCAGTGTGGAAATCTACACAGCAATACAAATGAATAAAGAGGAACTAAAGCTGTAAACATGGATAACTCCAAAAATAGAATGTTGAGTGTAAAAAGCTAGTTGCCAAATGGCAAACATTGTATATAACATTTATATAGAGCAAAACAATATTATTATTCTTACTTGTTATTTTGAGACAGAGTTTTGCTCTTGTTGCTCAGGCTGGCGTGCGGTGGTGCTATCTCCGCTCACTGCAACCTCCACCCACCAGGTTCAAGCAATTCTCTCCCCAAGTAGTTGGAATTACAGGCACCTGCCACCACACCCGGCTAATTTTTGTGTTTTTAGTAGAGTCTAAAAATACAAAAATTTCACCATGTTGACCAGGCTGGTCTCAAACTCCTGACCTCAGGTAATCTGCATGCCTCAGCCTCTCAAAGTGCTAGGATTACAGGCGTGAGCCACTGTGCCCAGCCTAAATTATTTTTGATACTTACATGTAATAATAGTATAAAAACTGTGTGGAAATGCAAGTAGCAAAGTCAGTTACCTCTGGGGAGAAAGACAGGGGCATCTTCAAGGCCCGTCAGGCTTCTGCCAACATTGTCACTGATGCCTTTCCAACTTTCACTAAAATTCTTTTCAGGATCCTTTAATCCTCCATTGACAGTCTCCTCATGGCTGCCTGGTCCCAGAGCCAGAGCTACAATGTTTCAGCCTTTTTGTGGTCATGGTAGCACCCTAGACCTTGTACCAAAATCAGTACCAGTTACCATTGCCGTATCATAAGCCACCCCAAAACCTAGTGGTGTACAGCAATCCATTTATTATGCCTGTAGGTTCTGTGGGTCAGGAATTCAGCTGGTGCACTGTACTTCACAGTGTCTCAAGCCTCAGCTGGAAAGGGCTTGAAGGCTGTGAATTAATCAATGGCTGGAGGCTAAAGTTCTCTGGAGGAGTCTTCACTCCTATGTCTGGCAGTTGATGTGAGCTGTTACCTGGGACCTCGGCTACTGGCTGAAGCAAGTTCACATGGCCCCTCCACAGAACCTGGACTTCACAGCATAGCAGCCTCAAAGTAGCTGGACCTCTTACTATGATAGAAGACTACAAAGACATGGGCCTCAAAAGAACCAGGTAGAGTCTCAATAAATATTTGCTTAATTGATAACTGTTATTAAGATATTTCATCTGGCCAGACGCAGAGGCTCACGCCTGTAATCCTAGCACTTTGGGAGGCCGAGGTTGAGGTGGGCAGATGGCCTGAGTTCAGGAGTTCGAGACCAACCTCGGCAACATAGGAAACTCCGTCACTACTAAAATACAAAAAAAAAATTACCTGGGTGTGGTGGCAGGTACCTGTAGTCCCAGCTACCCAGGAGGCTGAGGCAGGAGAATTGTTTGAACCCGGGAGGCAGAGATTGCAGTGAGCCAAGATCACGCCACGGCACTCCAGCCTGGGCAACAGAGTGAGACTTTGTCTCAAAAAAAAAAAAGGTCAAATTATTTCTGGCAATGTTTGAAGAGAGAAACATCTGTTTCCATGTGACAGAATGTACTTTTCAGAATGCCCTTTGTATTGAAATTAAAACATGACTGCATGTCATTGTGATGCCCCATCAGAAATATTCTTCGGAGATAACAATTTATTGGACTAGAGAATCCCACTAATCCTCTCACATCCCAAAAAAAGCATCTGGTGAAAAATAGCCTCAAAAGACATTCAGAACAATCTGATATTTCTTCATAAGCTCCATGAAAAGGGAGTCTTTCAATTAGTGACAGGAATTACATTTGTGTTACTGCAGATTGTATGCACAGTATGGAAGTGATTACAATGCAGTATATGTCCCTGAAAGTCAAATGATCTGCTCTTTTTAGTTTCTAGTATCAGAAGAAATAGCAAAACTGTCCAACAGATAATCCCCAAATCATGACGAGTAATAAATCTGCCTGCTGAAAAATCTTTAAGAAAACTTCCTCTGGAGGGGAAAGAAGGACGTGGGAGGTAAAACCACATGTGCAGAGTAGCTGATATCAAAATCGTAATATTGCTCCCAGCTCAAATTTCATATTTTATCCTTGTTAAAATACAGAAACGAGACAATGCTGTGAAGGCATCTTTACCGAACTTGAATTTTTAATGCAGCATGGCCTGTGAACCAGACCGAAAGATAACAGCTGGAAGCTGGTACATTCTGGGCAATTGTTATTTTTGAAAAATAGTGGAATCAGTAAGACATCAAAATGGTTTTTAAATTCTGTCTTCAGCATGCAGCTTCTACCCTGGAGTGGGGGAATATAAAACTCCAACTGACTTTGTTGATTAATGGAAATTTCTAATCATATGCCGTCACCCCTAGAAAGAATGGCCACAGCTTTGTGGCTAACCAAATGGGAAGTTTCCCACTACTTTTCACTGGGACTGTAGTGTAGGGGGAAACAGGAGGTGCCACTTTATGGATATAAAATACGAATACCCACCCTTCAAGGATTCTCTCTCTGGTATTTCCTGACACAGACTTGGGGTTGGGTAGGGAAAATGAACTGTACTTTATTTGACCCTTCTGGATTTTTTTTTTTTTTTTTGAGATGGTCTCACTCTGTCACCCAGGCTGGACTACATTGGTGCCATCTAGGCTCACTAAAACCTCCGCCTCCCGGGTTCAAGCAATTCTCCTACCCCAGCCTCCCAAGTAGCTGGGATTACAGGTGCTCACCACCACGGTCAACTAATTTTTGCATTTGTAGTAGAAACGGAGTTTCAACAGGTTGGCTAGGCTGGTCTTGAACTCCTGATCTCAGGTGATCTGCCTGCCTCGGCCTCCCAAAGTGCTGGAATTACAAGCGTGAGCCACCACACCTGGCCTCTGGATCATCTTATGAATCAAATGTTTACCATAAAGTCCCATAGTTAATTCTTATGGTTCCTCTTAAAACAGTTCTTGGGCTGGGTGTGGTAGCTCAAACCTGTAACCCCCACACTTTGGGAGGGTTGAGGTGAGAGGATCACTTGATACCAGGAGTTCAACACTAGCCTAGACAGTACAGCAAGTGAGACCCTGTCTCTATAAAAATATATATCTATTATATAGCTATTACATATTATGTAATAATATATATAATTATTTTATAAATACATATGTATATTATTATATATTTGTTATATATTATATATATATAATTATAAATTAGCTTGGCAAGGTGGTATGCACCTGTATTACTGCAGCTACTTGGGAAGCTGAGGCAGGAGGATCACTTGAGCCCAGGAGTTCTCGGCTGCAGTGAGCTACGACTGTGCCAATGCACTCCAGCCTAGGCAACAGAATGAGAGTTTCTTGCAATATATATATATATATTTCTAAATTTATTTAGAGTAAGCCTACAATTATATTCATGTGAATCTACACGTCAAAAAAAAAGAATGAAAATATATTTTCTGCCTTACAAACCCTGTCCTCCTTGCCACCATTCCCTGTCCGTCTCTCAGCCACACCTGAAACCGGAAGCTTCCCTTAAAGCCCTCTCCGCAGACTTTCACGCCATTCACCATTCTGTTGGGAGTTGCCTGAAGCAGCACCTGCCATATCTTTTCAGTGTTTTTGCTGCACAAAATTGACATCATTTCCTCCTTCTTTGAGTAGAATTAATCTATTTTACTCAGGTTTCCTCAGGAGGGGGTGGCATAGCTATGCTGCAGATTTGGTTTTTCTAGACGCCCTGCCAGGCCCCCTTCATGTCTCCAAGCTGTGGTTTGAAAAATGTAGATTGGTCTCGGCGCACAGGCTCACACCTATAATCCCAGCACTTTGGGAGACCAAGGCAGGTGGATCACAAGGTCAGGAGTTTGAGACCAGCCTGGCCAACATGGTGAAACCCCATCTCTACTAAAAATACAAAAGTTAGCTGGGCAAGGTGGCGTGCGCCTGTAATCCCAGCTACTCAGGAGACTGAGGCAGGAGAATTGCTTGGACCTGGGAGGCAGAGGTTGCTGTGAGCCGAGATTGCACCACTGCACTTCAGCCTGGGTGACAGAGCAAGACTCCATCTCAAAAAAAAGAAAAATGTAGATTTAGGAAGCCGTTTGTTCGAAAGATGGCTAAGAGAGAACTAGACTGAGATCCATGTAACAATCAGTTTTCTGAGAAAATTCGGATAGGACACATCTTCAGTGATTAAGTGTTTGTTTATTAATGTTTCCAAGGATAGCAATAGGTACAGACTCTTAGTAACAAATACTCTAAACCCAAGACATGTGGCTCGAGAGCGAGGAGTACTGGTTACTGCAGGAAGACTGGATGGAGGAGTATTGTAATGTTCATTTTTCCAGTAATACCTACGGAGCCTCTATTATTTACTACACACAAAAGTTCATGAGCATTTTCTTATTTAGAAAAAAAACTTGTAAATTAAAATCAACCTGCCAATCATTTTATGCATGAAGTGAAGGGCAATATTTAAATTAAATTCATAAAGATTGGTTTGTATATTCTACCTCCCCTGTACTTACACACATGCACACACATGCACATGTGCGCACGCACACACACACACACCCACACACACACCCACACACACACATACCTGTTGCCTTCTATTATTCTCTCTTATGGGAAAGACAGGTAGGCTAAGACGCTAATGGATGCCTGTTGATGTCAGAGATTCCGCGGTCAAGGTGGTGGTCATTCCTGGTGTCTTACAGCCAGCTGCCCTGGGGAGAGGGGACAAGGCGAGTCTGTACCAGGCAGCCTTGGGGCTTTGTCTGGAAAGGAGTGAGGGAATCCTCGCAGCTTCTCATTCTGTTGTCCTCATAAGGCAACCCTCATGGGTCTGGAGTGCTGACCCTGAGTCGCTGTGGGGCCCCACAGGGCTTGCTTCGGTAAGAGATTTGGTGATGCAGAGTCTTCCATGCGTGACTGAGCAGTGCGGGAGGGTGTCGTCTCCTCAGAAGCCACAGCCTGCTGATACTGTCTGGTCCAGAAGCCGAGTCCAGGAGAAGGAAAATGAAGATGTCTTCTGATTACAAAAACCACCACCGTAGTCCTGCTGCTTGAGAAGAGCATTTACCCAGACGTGAGGCTCCTCCTGGGACAGAGCACGCACACCAAAGCTCGCCTGAAGCAGGTAGGCTGGAGATGTGGGATCAGAGAGGGACAGAGTCATCGCATGACCTTGGCTCCTGCTGAGGCTGAAGTAGAGCTGAAGGGACTTGACTTAGGAATTAGAACTTCCTGGCTGAAAACACAGACAGTAAAAGTGGCTATGGTGTATCCTTCTCTAGAAATTTTGGGGGAAAAGACCATTTTCTCAGGGTAATAGTATGAATTATAATCCAGCCCCAAATGTGGGAAATGCCTTTTAATTTCTACCCTCAGTGACCTACCCAGGAGCACATAAAAACAAATCTGAAGCTACCCAGGTGTCTGTTGCCAAGTCTGGGACTAGGCACTTTGACGTGTCTAGGAAATATTGAATTTCCATCTTTTTGAAATTAAGAGGAGGCCAGGCACCGTGGCTCACACCTGTAATCCCAGCACTTTGGAGGCCATGTTGGGAGAATTGTTTGAGCCCAGGAGTTTGAGACCAGCTTGGGCAAAATAAGGAAACTCCCTACCTTCCAAAAATAATGAAATAAAAAAATTAGCTGTGTATGGTGGCATGTGCCTATAGTCTCAGCTACTTTGGAGGCTGTGCCGGGAGGATTGCTTGAGCCCCAAGGCTGAGGCTGCAGTGAGCCATGGTTGAGCCACTGCATTCCAGCCTGGGTGACAGAGTGAGACTCTGCCTCAAAAACACAGTGAAGTTAAGAGGATTCTCACATGCTGTGAATTGTATTCCAACAAACTGTACCTTTTAATAACAGGAGACCTGCAGTCTTGGAGTGTCTTGAAAGAGAGGAAAGGTAGAAGATGAGGTTGGAGAAGAGCTTGGGGTTAGATTATGAGGATGATGAAAGGACTGTGAACTTGAAGCAAGGGAAGCAGTCCAAAAATAAAAGTCCAGGTGGGAAATATTTTGGCTTGGACTAAGGTGCCTGCCGGATGAAGAGAAGAGGCTGTATTTGAGATCGATTTTGAAGTTAGAGCATTCCTGAACTGCTGGTGGATTGGATATTGGATATGGGAGGGGAGGGAGAAGAAGGAACCGAGGGTGGCTCTAGGAGTCTGGCTTAGGTAACAGTGTGGATGCGGGTACTGTTTATTGAACTAGGAGAGACAAATGGAGAAATGGTGTGCTGTGCATGTGTGTGCAGACCTGTATGTGTGCTGGGGTTAGATTGGTAAATCTAATGAGACGTCAAGTATGTAATGGGGCACAGGAAATGCCACCCCAAAATGTGGTGTCTTGGAAACTGGGAAAACGGCAGAAGCAGGAAGGTCTCTCCAACCTTCTCTCGCTCCTTTCCCCCTTGAAGTGGGACACAGAAAGTAACATTCTCCTCACCCCTTCTTCCCTAAAGCAGACCCATCAAATCTAGGAAGGTGACTCTGATCTTCTCTTTTCTCCTGAATATCCTCATGCGACAGGTATCCTGTTCTATCCCTAGAGAAAAGGAATTTCACGCAGGAACCCCAGGAAGAAAGTGATCAAATAGGCCTTCCTAGGATCCCCCCTTTAGATCACACCCTTTTTTTCTCCAGTCTTACTTCTGCACTGTCCATAAGGATACACAGATCTTCCCATTCCTTTGGGTCTTCATTTCTGAGGGGTCTCTTGCCACATGAAACATAATAAAATAAATGTATATGCTCTTCTCTTTTTAACCTGTCTGCTGTTATAGGGGTCTTAGCCATTAATCTCATAATGAATGAGGAAAAGACAAACTTTTCTCCCCTACATATGCAATTTTATTTTCTGACCTGAATATAAAGGAATGAATTTAGACTGGAGATGAAGATAGGAATAGACTCTGCTTATCTACAATAATTGAAATCTAAGGAATTAATGAAATTGTACAAGCAGAGACTAAGGAGAGAGAAGAAAAGGAGCAGGGAGCTGGGTAGGATCCAAAAGAGAATACATGAGGAATGGAAGCAGAATAGAAGACCCTATATGATACTAAGAAGAAGTGGTCAGAGCAGAAGAAAGTTAGGAGAATGTGGGGTCACAGCCTACAGCAAGGGAGTGTTGAGGAGGAGAGGTGATCGGGAATGAGGTTACTGAGAGAGTTCAGTGAGAGAAGCTTGGAGAAGTAACAAGGAACCCGGTGAGAACCGCTGTGGAGAAGTGCAGAGGGAAGCACCCTGGGCGTCAGTGCAGTGGGGACAGTGCAGGCGTGAAGGGGCAGAGACGATGCGATCTGGAGGGTAGTGTTTGAAAGTGTGACTGCAGGCCTGGAAACAGTGAAGGGGAGAAGAACACGTGCTGACTGCGTATGAGGAGATTCCTTTTAGATGCACAGCTGGAGCTGAGCCTGGAGTAATGTTCAGGATTTCACTTAGCTGGAGGGGAGGAGAGAGATTGTCACGTGAGGAATGAGCCCAAACAAAAGCCTAGACCTACACTTCCAGCACAGTAGGCACAAGCCACACATAACACCGGGTTCTAGATGTATGCCTAATTCAAATGGAGATGCACCCTCAGTGCAAAATATGCCACATGTCAAGGACTTACTATGAATAAAACAATGTACACTATCTCATTTATAATTTTATGTGATTATATCTTGAAAAGATAATCTATTGGATATGCTGGGTTACATGAAATATACCATTATAATTAATTTTATCGTTTTCTTTTTTTTACTTTTTAAGTGTGACTATTAGAAAATTTAAAATTACATTCACAGCTTGCCGCCTGTTTCTCTCAGACAGTGCTGGCCAGAGATGGAATGAGATTGTATGACATGAGGACCGCCAGAGGAGAGTGTGTGCGCCGGCATAAAAGATGAGTTTGGATCATTTTAGCGGAGACCAAGTGGAGAGAACTTCCAAATGTAAGCAGAGAAATGTCAGGAGAGGGCTGTTGGAAGTTCCTAAGCAGGAAAAGGGCCCTAATCTATGGGAAATTCAGAGATAGGGGAGTCTGTGTTTTTAAGTGATGAGAAAACTAACCCCTTCAAAACCAACCTAAGAAGTTGAGATAAGTCTTCCGCGGAGGGATGGCCTCTAAGGATAAGCAAGCAGAATGCAGGGGTCCCTCGAGCCCTCCTTCTATCCAGTTTCTTTGTCTCCCAGCACTTCAATCAGCAGACAATCCAGAGCCTGATGTCAGAGGCTGGGGCCTGGAGTTGAACAGTGAACTCACTAGAAGGCAAAGGAGAGCTAAGTCTGGGGTCAACTCCTATGCACATAGCTTGGCAGGACGTGCCTTCTGTTATGAAGCGGGATGGTCAGGTGGAAGGACTTGGGAGTCAAGCAGCCTGGGGCAAAATCCCAGCTGCCCCTCTTACCTACTGTGTGACTTGTAGTAAGTCAGACAGCCTCTCTGAGCTTGGTTCTCCCTTTTATTTAAGAGAATACTGCAAATAGGGCTGCAGTGAGTTCTAATGAGGTTATGTATGGGAAATATATAGCCGGGTACCAGGCACACTAGGACTCTCAGTTAACATTCATTGTTATCATGGTTGTATCCCTCTAACAGCTCTGAAAGGTGGGGGCTAAAATTCCCATTTTATAGGTGAGGGTGTCGAACAAGGGCTATAATCAGAGCATCTTGATTTCAGGCTCTCCTCAGTAGCACCATGGACAGATCACAGGTCACTATCAAGTGTAACCTGTGCTCACAACACATTGGGCCAGCTTGGGGGTGACCACGGGCTGGTTCATCCCTTCCAAGGTAGATAGCTCATGAGAATGACAATGCACTTCCAAAAGAGACTTCCTTGCTTCTTAGAACCTCCTCTCCCCACCTCTTCTCTCTGTCCTCTCTCTCCCTGAAAGCCTAGAACCCAGTTTCTTAGGAGCTGGTGATATGCAGATGGTGGCTTTTTGTTCCTTTGTTAGTTTGTACTTTACACCTCACGAGTCAGCACAAAGCTTTTCAGTGGCATCAGGATACATTTACGTTACCCTCTCTCTGTGGGGGATTAGGGAAGAAGAAGGTGAGAGACTGGCCTTTTGTCCATTGTGTAGACACTCCTTCTAACCAGGACCTCGACAGAGAGTGTGAAGCTCCCCAGCTTTAAACCTGTATGGGAACATTTGAGAGAAAGCAGTTTTTTTAGTGTAGAAGAATACATATGGCAGTGAGAGTGAAGGCAGTGTGTAAGAAGGGAAAATGAGCAAGGGCAATGATGTAAGTGTGAACAAACCTGCTAGCAGGTTAGTCCCTGCTTTGTGGGCAGTCCTTGAGGCTCTGAGAATGACCCACTAAAGACAGCCAGGCCTGTGGGAGACCTCTTTTTTCAAAGACACAGTATGCAAGGGGGCTTGAAGTCACAGTAAGAAAACTCTCACCCAAATCTTTATCTCTCCCCACTTGCATTCTATCTGAAATCTCAGCCTTACAGCTCTGTTTTTAGAGGTAAGGTTTTATTGTTACTTATGAAGATTTGTTAAAAAGCCATGCATCAAACTGTTTGCAGCAGCAGATAAAAGAGGGGCAGCATAGTGATGTTTGCTACATAAAGTATGACACGTCCCTCCCATGGCCTACGACACATGCCTTAAAGACGGTGATGGTGGAGATCTCTATTGACATGGAAAGATGTTCAGGATATATTGTTTTTAAAAATGTACAAAGGCATGATCCACTTTTGCTTAGGAAAAGTCTTCAAATATACAGATGTACACAAGATGTACATGAGATTTAATTCAACTTACTATTGAATTATCGATTTTTTCTTTTTACTTATCTGTATCTTCCAATGTTTCTATTAAGAACAAAGATTTATTTTGTGCTTTAAAATATTTTAAGTGCAAGCCACCTGGTTGTCATTACTTACAAGTTACTTAGTAGGCATTAGTTAATTAATGAATTATCCTACAGAGTTCCTAATTGGCATAGTTTCAGTTTTCCAAGATGAAAGAACTTCAGGATATTCATTGTACAGCAACCCGAATTCACTTGACATTTCTGACTTGTATACTTAAATACGGTTAAAATGATATATTTTATGTGTATTTTACCATGATTAAATATTTTTTAAACCTAAAAAAGGTATGGGGAATAAAGACAGCTGAGAGGAGTACTACAGGACAGCAGTGGATTAAAGGCCTCGCACTCACCCAGCACGTCTGCAGAAAAATCTTGGCCATAATTCTGAGTTGAGCTAATCTTAATAGTTAGACAATGAGCCACCCCTATTGGAGTTACAGTGGGTTCCTGCATTTTGGCAAAATTTACTTCGATCGACAGCTAATACCAGCTTACAAACTTTCCTCTGCAGTCTGCATTGCTCTTGAAATGGCACAGCTGTTTAACTTATGCTAGAGAAAATTTGATTTGGTGTATTAATGTTGATCTGTTTCATTGTTTATTCAGTCTGCTTTCTCTAGAGCCACTTTTCTTCCTGGAGCTTTGCAATATTACCCGTCACTGTACACACTCTGTTAATAGGCAATACTCTCCTGAGCCATTATTAGAAATAATAGTATGAAATGAGTAAATAATTCCAAAATGCTAAAAAGCCAGAGCAACTGGTAATGCAGAACCATGTGTATTTACATGCAAAGTAAACCACAGAGCAGTATGTGGGTGTGGGGAGATGAATGTTCTTGTTTGAACAGGTGTTACTGAATTGCTAACACTCCTGTGATCACGTGGTCCCACAGATGGATTCCCTCCAGCACCGCCTTACATTGAGGCTTCCACACCACGTTTTCCTCTCAGTCCCTGGCTGGTTTTAACTTTTCTCTAAACATATTGGTAAAGCCTTTATAACTTTCTTTTGATATGCCTGCCTTTTCCCTGCCTTCCCATTTCGAATCCTGAATAAGAAGAAAAAAAATAAATACAACTACAAAATAGCTCTGTAGATAAGTTTGACTGGTTCCTGATGAATTCACATTCAAGAGAAGACCTGGACTCTATCCAGCAATTTTCATTCTCAAAGACTCCTCAGGCTTAACGCGCCATCCTTAAAACTTCACATGATTTGTACTTATTAATGAAATTGTAAAAGTCTTCCTTTCTGTTTACTTACCTCGCAACGTTTCTGAAAATCCAGAGCCCCAGCTGTTCAACACTCTTTTCAGTGTTGAAACCAGCTGCTCACTAAACCCCATCTCATATTCTGTAACTTAAAAGTGTATAGGGAAAAAAAAGTTCATCTAATAAGATACTTTGGGAGGCCAAGGCTGGTGGATCACCTGAGGTCAGGAGTTCAAGACCCTCCTGGCCAACATAGTAAAACCCCGTCTCTACTAAAAGTACAAAAAAATCAGCTGACGTGGTGGCAGGCACCTGTTACCCCAGCCACTCAGCTGGCTGAGACAGGAGAATTGCTTGAACCTGGGAAGTGAAAGTTGCAGTGAGCCAAGACCG